AAAAAGACAAAAAACTCAAAAAACATAAAAAGTATAAAGCCGAAGAAATAAGTATAAAAGATAAAACAGATAAAAAACACACAAAACAAAAAACGTGAAAACATAAAACATTAAAAACATAAGTAAAGTATAAAACCTAAGAAATAAGTATAAAAAGATAAAAAACATAGGAGACACAAAAAACATAAAAAAACATGAAACATAAAAACACTAAAAGCATAAAAACACAAAAAGTATAAAACATGAGAAATATGTATAACAAGATAAAAAAAGATAAAAACCACAATAAAGACAGAAAACATAAAAACATAAAAAGTATAACACCTAAGAAATAATTAAAAAAAGATAAAAAAGATAAAAACACAAAAAACATAAAAAAACAAAAGCATAAAAACATTAAAAACATAAAAAAGTATAAAACCTAAGAAATAAGTTTAAAAAGATAAAAAACATAAGAAACACAAAAAAATAAAAAAACATGAAACATAAAAAGATTAAATGCATAAAAACACAAAAAGTATAAAACATGAGAAATAAGTATAAAAAGATAAAAAAACACAAAACAAAAAAGATAAAAACATTAAAAACTTAAAAAGTATAAAACCTAAGAAATAATTAAAAAAAGAGGAAAAACACAAAAAACATGAAAAAAAATGAAAACATAAAAACATAAAAAGTATAAAACATAAGAAATGTATAAAAAAAAATAAGTAGACACAACATGATTATATTACTCAACGAAACATGATTGAATATCGATATGCTGCCTAAATCTCCTCTCTCTCTCTATATATATATATATATATATATATATGTGTGTGTGTATATATATATATATATATATATATATATATATATATATATATATATTGAATACGACAGACAAGGTTCTTAGATTTAGTTCTTTATACAATTTCTTATGTGATCTAATGATGTTTTTCTTTTCGGATGAGAAATTATATAAAAACTGTCCAATTTTATTTGAGCGCTTACGGCTATACATTTTGCCACTTTCAAGGTTGAAACATATTAACTGTTAACAAGAAATAGTTTGGTGTATGTATGCATTTATATAATGTTTTAATTTTTCAAAACACGGTCATGATATTGTGCGCATGTTGACAGTTGATATTGATATTATTGAGTGTCGTTTTTTTCTTTTGTTTTTATTAATAAGAACATTTGGACAGTTTTTTTATATAATGTATCATCCAAAAAGAAAATTATCAAAATTATTAGATGACATGGGAAGTTTCATAAAAAATAAATCAAAGCACCTTGCCTGCCGTAGTCGATGAATTGCTACATATATATATATATATATATATATATATATATGTGTGTGTGTGTGTGTGTGTGTGTGTGTGTGTGTGTGTGTGTGTGTGTGTGTGTGTGTGTGTGTGTCATCCACAGACAGACTGTTTCGCTGTATCACAGCTCATCAATGTATTAAGACATCCAATTTCTTCATATATATATATATATATATATATATATATATATATATGAATTGAGATAAATGCAGATGGAATAGTGATCTGAATCCTATAGAGTGATAAAATAAATGACAAGTATGAAACGTTAAACAATCTATCATGTTTCACTTTTATATTCTACGATGGATCTTTAATACAAGTGAAACATTTTGTATTTTTAAACGTATCCTATTGTTCATTATCCTAATATATATATATATATATATATATATATATATATATATATATATATATATATATATATATATATATATATATATATATATGGAGTTTGCCTGACGATCGCAAAAGCGTGAAACCCAGTGTCACAAACTCACATCTATTCAACCAAATATATATATATATATATATATATATATATATATATATATATATATATATATATATATATATATATATATGGTGGGTTTTAAAGATCCGCTTTTAAATTTTAGAAACGCAATTGCTTTTTTTTAGATCTCCTCTGAAGACCAGCCCTATTTCCGTTACTCTGGAGCCAAATCCTGCTGTTATTTGTCGACAATTTGTTTAGATTTTGTAAATAGACTCTATTTTTCTTCGTTTCACATGGGATATGTTTGTTTGATTTAGGATTAAGGCAATTCCTGCCAAATAAATAGGTTCAGTCCTATCGACACGGGCACATTGACACAACTGTGTGTAACATTCATTGAGTCGGGCTGAAATCTAGGTCTACAGACGTTATGAAATCTTATCACAGTCAGATAAAATCGTAATTCTAACGAGAGGAGACTTATCTTAACCTGTTTTATTAAGTGAATTTTGTCTTGCGCCCATTATATCCTAAGTGCAGCTGGGTGAACCTCCTTTTTTATGTCCGTGCATCCACCGAAGTCATACAAATAATATGTTAAAATTTGAAGTGGGAATTTATTCTATCACCTGTAATAATTGCCACGTGAAGTATATAGGGGAAACCTCAAGAAATTTGAATAAAATTAAAATAAACATGAAAGGGATTTTTTTTACAAAACAACACACCCAGTTATTTAGTTACCCACAAATGAGACTGGCTATAATTTTGATATAAAATGCTACTGTAAATAATGAGAAATCAATTTACTAAGAATAAAAATAAAGAAAGTGCTTTAATCGCTAGAACATCGACATTAGATCTCACCCTTCCTGACAGATCTTCTATTATCACATTGTAGGATATTAAATAAGAAAGTCTATAAAAACGTAAACAAAATAGAAAAGAAACTAAATGAAATCGGCTAAACCATATACCCAAAACACATATCTAAAAAAAAAAAAATGTATATAAATTTCAAATTTCAGCGTCCCCCTCCTTCATGCACTTGTCATACGAAAAACACTTACCACTTTGTCATAGATTTTCCTAAAATTATTCATGATGTATAAATATTTATATATCATTTTCCCATATCATGTGCTGAATTACATATTTGAACCGCCCTATCGGCTGGGGCTTAAGAATACGTCGACTGCACCTCTGCCCACCACCGAATGATGCGCTCAGGGTAAGACGATAAACTGCATTAGACATCAAGGCTTCTGATCATGTCGTGTTGAGAAGAAAAAAATATTACCAGCAATACATTTTTTAAAAAGTATTACCAGCAATACATTTCCGACGAAAAAATATTAGCAACAATATATTTCCGAAGAAAAAATATCAGTAGCAGTATATTTTTGAAAAAAAAAATATTACCAGTAATACATTCCTGAAGAAAACATATTACTACAAATACATTTTTGAAAAGATTTTGCCAGCAATACATTTAAAAAAAAATACCAGCAATACAATTTTTAAAAAAATATAACCAGCAATACATTTCCGAAGAAAAAATATTACCAGAAATGTATTTTTGACAATATATTGCCAGTGATACATTTTTGAAAAAAAAAAATTACCAGCAATGAAATTTTTGAAAAAAATATAATACAGCAATACACTTCTGAAGAAAAAATATTACTAGAAATGCATTTTTTTGAAAATATATTATCAGTAATACATTTTTGAAAAAAAAATTATCAACAATTCATTTTTGTAAAAATTATTACAGCAATTTTTCCGAAAAAAATATTACCAGCAATACATTTTTTGAAAAAATATTGCCAACAATACATTTTTGAAAAAAAAAAATATTACCAGCAATACATTTTTGAAACAAATATTACCAGAAGTACATTTTTGAAGAAAAAATATTACCAAGAATATATTTTTTGAAAACATATTGCCAGCTAAACATTTTTTAAAAAAAATATTACCAGCAATATATTTTTTGAAAAAATATTACCAGCAATATATTTTTTGAAAAAATATTACCAGCAATATATTTTTTGAAAAAATATTACCAGCAATATATTTTTGAACAAAAATATTACCAGCAATAAAAATCTTGTCGGTATTAAATAACTCATTAAGGTTGATATGCCGTAAAACAAAACAAAAAAATACAAAGCGTACTTAGAAAAAATGCTCGGTGTCAGTCTAATACAGAAATCTCTCAATGTAAACATTCGTAATTGGAATACCTTTTTCCACCAAAGCCAAAGGCCTTCGATATCCTCGCCTATTTTTGATCTAAAGCAGGGTCTACCAACCACTGGTTGGCGATTTCAACTGTTGGATGGGCGATGAGCAAGTAAACAGAAAATAGTGGACGATTAGAAATTTTGGTGGGCGATATAAAATATTGTGTATTAAAAATTTATTCCAATATATGCTATCCGAAAAAAAAAATTCAACAGAGGAAATGGTATAACAAACAGAAACCAAAAAAAATCTGCAGATGGGTATAACAGGATCCTAGATAGAATAAAATATCAGCGCAAACAGGGGGTATTTTGGTAGTTTCTTTTCGTCAGAATTCATCGTGCACGTTTACAAATCCACAATTCGTCCGTGCATTGAGTAATGATGCCATATCAGGTCTACTGTCCCAGCTGTTCACGTCAAGGCTCTCGACAAAATCCAAAGAAGGATCTGTAATGAAATCGATCCTGACATGGCATCTCGATTTCAGTCATATTCTCTTTGACGGGCCGTGGCTTCCCTCTGTCTTTTCTACAAATACATTTTTTTTATGGTAATGGCTCTGACGAGCTTTTTTTTTTCTCTGGTGCTCATGAAATTAGGCATGCTACTAGATTGGCATTTAGGTTGATTGTGGAAACAGCTAAATGCATCCGCCACTTTTACTCTAACAATTTCTTTTCTTGCACTTCCCACCTGCGAAACTCCTTTCCGCTTACTTGCTTCCCTACAATCTTCAAAAATTTAAATGCAATGTCAATCGCCATCTTCTGATGTCTTGAACACCGTTCATTGTTTATCCTTTCCTCATTCCTCTATACACAGTTTATTCTCTCACTTTCTTTCTATATAAACCCCTGCGGACAAGTGTCACTTCCGGCTTGCTTGGGGTGAAATCCTTTAAGAAATATTACATTATCGTATTAACGTGTCACTCGCCATAAAAAAAATTTATATATATTTGGGTTCATCGTCGTATCACGTAGAAACACCTGTTCTCGTACGATAACCGAAGTTAAGCAACGTCGAGCCTGGTCAGTACGTAGATAAGTAACCGCTTTGGAATATCAGGAGCAGTAAACTTGGATGTGCAGGTGGTGTAATGGATAACGTTTCGAAATTGGTAATAGGAAAGCTCAGTTCCAGTTTCAATCGGGTTCGCCATATTCTTGGGAAAGCTACGAAAACACTTCTTGTCCCCCAGCTGTGGGTTAATTAGTAGAACGAGTGTCAGTAAATCATTATTATAACTCCCGATATTCTTACAATATAAAAATGCTTTCTGGCTTTAAATAACTTGGAAAAGGTTGATAAGTCGACAAAAATCAAGATCATTATTTATCTTATTATTTGTTGATCAATTTATATAAATTGTTGCCCAAGTAAAATTAAGAAACGAATTAGGAAAATCGTAATCGGCGAGAAAGGCTCAACTTATCATCTATTATTCGCGCGTCTATTTATATGCGGATGCCAATGTGGATAAATATATACAGATTATTCCTTTCTCGGAAGACAAAAGAAAAGGTATTGTTTAGCGTATAAAAAAAATATCTTGTAAAATTCCCATCGAACAACAAATTCGACATACTGGAACAAGCTGAATAAATATGGAAAGATGAAATTTGTAGTTCTGACACGCATGCGCATTGCAACATCCATAAACAAAGAACATGACCTTTCCCCTAATCGAGGGTTAGATACAGAATTTTTTGGGGAAAAAAAAGTAGAGACGGGGATCGAGAAATAGGAGTGAAAGAAAGACAAAAGGAAAAAAATGAGGAAAATGATGAAAAAGAAAGAAAATAACAAGAAAGATGTCAAAGAAATCGAAAACAAAGAGGAAGAGAAGAAAAATATGTTGATTGAAATAAAGAAATTTATGAAGAATATAGGTTCTTATGAAAAAAGGAAATGAAGTGTAAAAAGAAAGAATGGACGAATGCATGAAAGAATGAATGAAAAAAGAATGAAGAGAGCCCATGAATTGAAAGAAAGAAAAATAAGTAAATGTTTCAGTACAAAAAAAATGAAGGAAAGAAAGAAAATATTTTGAATAAAGAAAGAAGTACTTAAATAAAAAAAGGAAGAATTTGAAAAAAAAGAAAAATGAATAAAGAAAAAAGAAAGGTAGAAAAAGAAAGAATGAAAGAAAATAAAGGAAATCAAATAAAGAATTCAAAGAATGCAAAGGAATAAAAAGAGGAATGAAAGAAAGAAGGAAAGAAAGAAAAATGAATAAAGAAAAAAGAAAGGTAGAAAAAGAAAGAATGAAAGAAAATAAAGGAAATCAAATAAAGAATTAAAAGAATGCAAAGGAAGAAAAAAGAAAAATGAAAGAAAGAAAGAAGGAAAGAAAGAAAGAAAACCTAACGACGAAAAGATAGAAGAAAATACTGCAAAGACAGATAGTAAGAATTTAATGGACAAAAGAATGAAAAAAATAAAGAAAGAACTACAGACTGCAAAGATGGAAAGAAAAAAAGAAAGGAAGAAATGAACGAATGAAGAAAGAAAGAAAGAAAGAAAGAAAGAAGATAGAAAAATATTTTTCAAATAAAGAAGGAAAATTAAACAAAGAGATAAAGAAAAGAGGAAAAAAGGAAGAAAAGCGAAATTAAATGAAGAAAGAAACGTCTGTAAGTGAAGAAAGAAATTTTTTTTTCAAATAAAGAACGAAAAAAGTGGAAATTAAACGAAGAAATAAGGAAAAGCAGAAAGATTTTATCAAATAAAGAACAAAGGAAAAATAAATTGATCGAAGTAAGTAAAGTCTACAAAATAAAGAATGAATGAAAAAAAATTACAAATAAAGAAAGAAAAAGAAAGAAGAAATTAAATAAAGAAAGAAATAAAGAAATAGATATTTTTATCAAATAAAGAAAGGCAGAAAAACGAAATTAAACAAAGAAAGAAACGTCTGTAAAAGAAGAAATAAAGAAAAAAGACAGAGAGAAATACCTTTTTAAAAAAAAGAATGGAAGAAAAATGAATTAAAAAAGAAAGGTTGGCAAAGAAAGAAAGAATATTTTTTCAAATCAAGAAAGGAAGGAAAGAGGAAATAAAGAAAGAACAATTTTATCAAACAAAGAAAGGAAGAAAAATAAATTAAAAAGGAAAGGTTGGCAAAGAAAGAAAAAATATTTTTTTTCAAATAAAGAAAGGAGAAAGTAAATAAAGAACAATTTTATCAAACAAAGAAAGGAAGACAAATTAGTTAAAAACGAAAGGTTGGCAAAGAAAGAAAGAATATGTTTTCAAATAAAGAAAGGAAGAAAGGTAGAAATAAATAAAAGACAATTTTATCAAACAAACAAAAGAAGAAAAATTAATTAAAAAAGAAAGGTTGGTAAAGAAAGAAAGAAAGAAAGAAAGAAAGAAAGAAAGAAAGAAAGAAAGAATACTTTTTCAAATAAAGAAAGGAAGAAAGGTTAAAATAAATAAAGGACAATGTTATCAAACAAAGAAATGAAGAAAAATTAATTAAAAAAGAAAGGTTGGCAAAGAAAGAAAGAAATAAGAAAGAAAGAAAGAAAGAAAGAAAGAAGGAAAGAAAGAAAGAAAGAAAAAGAAAATGAGAATGAAATGTTAAGAAATAAAGTGCAAGAAGAACGTTATTTCGGTTGTAAAGAAGAAATGAAAATAAAAACAAATAAAACAAAAACAGAAAAAAGATTCCTGAAAATAGGAAGATAAAAGGAAGAAAGGGAAGGAAAGGTCAAGGGTAGAAAATAGTCAAAACTAGTCGAAATTTTGAAGCCGTCAAGAGTATGGAGTCCGTAGAATAAAATACAATGAAAGAATAAACAATCAAAGAAGGATACGACCGAGGAACGAAAATGGCCAGAAAGAAGCGCGGAATTGAGAAGGTTAGGGTTAAGATTTCTTCTACACGCCGCGTCACTTCAGCACATGAGTGATCATGACTCCTCCAAACTCCCTATCTCTTGCAACCCTAAGCCGTTGTTCTGCATTTGCTAAGACGTCCGCCCGCCCTTTTGCGTGTTAGGATTTCCAAGCGCCCTTTCCTCATTAAGTATCTCTTGTAATCTAGGAAGGACATACCCATTAGTGTTCATAGGTACAGTATATAACAGATAGATAGATAGATAGATAGATAGATAGATAGATAGATAGATAATGAAAAGGGGTTCATAGTGTTGTAACATAGAAAAGGTCATTGAATGAGGAATAACCAAAACGGAAGTTGGAAATGAAATGCTAATCTTTATAAAATCAACGAAATACAATACTCGCCAGCGGCGTGAATAGGTAAACCACTGCTCGCGGTGGACGACTTAGACAGCATATTACCCCCCACTTACAATGGTGACCAACGTATTTATGAGGAATTGGACATAACCATTAGTTTTCATAGTCACGTTATATAACACTATCTATCTATCTATCTATCTATCTATCTATCTATCTATCTATCTATCTATCTATCTATTTGCT